AGAGAGAGAGAGAGAGAGAGAGAGAGAGAGAGAGAGAGAGAGAGAGACAGACAGACAGACAGACAGACAGACAGACAGACACATACACTCCTAGGCTCACTCTACTTTTACGTGGCGGAGCCCCAGGTCCCAGCACAGCACTGGCTCACCTGGATGAGTTCATCCCGAGTGGCAAAATCAGTGACTATGATGTTCTTGCCATCAGGCCACCGGGTCAGGGAGATGCCTAGCTTCTGGGAGGCCAGAATATGGCAGTTGTCAGGAAGGCTGTCTTGCAGCTTTTTCCTGATATGCTCAATGGGTCCATAGGCCGGATGGAAGATGCCCAGGCTCAGCCGCTCCACATGTTTCATCAGGCCCAGGAGATGGGAGCAGGAGAAGTCTGCAGGGCAGTGGGAACTAAGGCCTCAGTGACCTGGGACCACCGAGGTCCACCCGCACCCACCAATGGACCGCTTCTCTCAAGGATCCCTGGGTGTCAGTTCTTAACATTTCTTCCCAGTCCTGGTAACCAATACTCTCAAAAAACCTTAGGGGTAGTATCCCAAATTTAAAGCCAGGATCCTATCTTTAGAGATAGAAGTGACTACGGGATCCTCAGATTCAGAAGCTACTGCGTGTCAAGCCCCAGGAGCACATCGCTCAGCTCCCTGCGGGAGTCCTTAGACCCTGAGAACTTCCTAAGCACCTGCGGACTTGCCACAGACAATGCCTATGGCGTTGAGCGCGCCGGAGGAAGCGCCATAGATGCGGCGGGACCCCTGGATGAGGCGCGGTGCTCGCTGGCGGAGACACTCGGTGACACCCACGTGGTAGAGGCCCATGTAGCCAGAGCCTGAGAAGGACAGGTTCCAGCCGCCCTCTGCCTCCAGGAAGTCCATAATAGGGCGCTTGGGACGCGGGACTGCAGACTCCTCAACCTTGATGCTGCTCAGGAACGCGAACCGGGGAACCAAGCCGGGATGGGGATGGAGCTCTGGGAGGCTTAGCAGGGTGGCTCCGCCCTAGGCTGAGTAGGCTGTGGCCCTAGCTAGTGAGGGATGGGCACACTCTCCAGGTGTACATCGCTGCCCCCAGGCATTACATTACAAGCCCGCACGCCCACCCTGTTCTCGATTACAGTCACCTAACCTCGGGGTGTCTGCATTTTGAAAGAGGGAAAGAGGGAAAGAGGCACGATCAGGAAGGACCGCGCCTAACCTCCAGGCCAGAGGTCAAGGACCAGAATGCATGTGGGAGGTCAGAGGCCTGGGATCTAGGTTCAGCAAGGAAAGGCTGCTATAGAAAAGCGCCTTCAAATGCATACAATCTCCCGGCAACCACCACGAAGTCGAAGTCGCCTAGCTTGGAGCAGGCTCACAAGTGCATATGTCTGACCAGGTGAGGTGACAGGTGCTTACACAGCTAAGTCATCACGTGGAAGTCAAGCCAGGCATGCCGTGAGGGTCAGGGGAAGTGAAGTCCATCCCAGGATGCCAAAAGGAGGAAGGTATGTAGGGTAGTGAGCAAAGAGGCTCCCAGTAAAGAAACAGGGCGAGTGGAACTCAGTGGGACCGACACTGAGCATCCGAGGCTCTTACAAAGTAACCAATAAGGAGAGGTAGCAACACACTGCAGGCTGCCTGGTGCAAACATTGCCCCAATAGGCTCGGATTCCAACCAGGTGGCTTATCCTATAACAATGCAGCTGGGTTCCACCACTAGCACCCCACACACACCCCCAGGATATCCATGGCCAAAGCAAAGTACTGACTCCTGTAGGTTATCCTCTGACCTCCACACATACACCACCCACACACACACTAAGATAAACACATGTAATTTAAATGCAAACCTCACTCTGTGGTGTAAAAATAATAAATGCAACTATCAGAAAGGTCACAGGTGAAGGGTCCTAGGGGGCGTGACTCCGGGGAGTTCGGGGTGATGAAAGGTGGGAAGAGACCTCACTGTATCCAGGAGCTGACAACAGGTGGGTGGTATGCAACTGAGCTAGGCTTGAGCACCATTCAGGGGCTCCCTGCATAAACCCCATTCCAGCAGCCAGGAGGGGGCAGCAGGTCTTCGCCCATAACTCCCCTGCAGGGGAATGTGATGCAGCCATCTGGAAGGAGCACCTGGGAGCTGGTTTCCAGGTGAGATTCTGAGGATCAAGTGAGGCTGGAGTGCAAAGGTTAAGGACACACCTTTGCAACTGTGCACTGTGGCGGGTGAGGTTGCCTGCCAGCAGCCTGAAGAGCTTCCTTCCTGTTTAGGCACTCCCCACAGATGAAGCCAAGGTTCTGATTTCACCACAAAAAGAATTTCGGAACCAGATAGAATGAACCAAATTAGTGAGTTGTTAAGTGTTGAGACAGAGTCGTGGGAGAAGAGGACAGTGTACACACAAAGCAAAGGAGGGGGAGCATTTTTAAAAAACGTTTAATTTATATGTATGTGTGTGTGTGTGTGTGTGTGTGTGTGTGTGAGTGTGTGTCCGTGTGTGTATGGGTGTGGTTACTATGGTGCACACATGCTTCTGAGAAGACAGTTTGTGACAGGGAGTTGGTTCTCTCCCTCCACATCTGGGTCTCAGGGATGGAACTCAGGTTGCGAGGCCTGGCAGGAGGCACCTTCACCAGCTGAGCTAGTTTGAGGGACTCCCAGACCGTGTCGTTTCCAACATTCTTGTTTGAGACTTCAGGAAGATGAGCACCAGCTTTGGAGGTAATTTGGCTATCGGTGGCTCGCAGTCAGATTCTGGAGTGAGGTGTTCTTTCCCTGTCCACCATCTTTCTTTCCTTTCTCATATACTTTCCCCTGGCCTTAGGCTGAGGCCTTCTGGGTAGTACTGTCTCATCTCTACTACAGCCCTGTGAGATAATAAATACTGCCAGCCCTGGTTTACAAATGGAGCAGCAGAAACTTAGAGGAGGAATCCAGGAGAGCCCATGAGCCAGGCTAACTGGGGTGACAAAGACAAACCTGGAGGAAACTCCTGAAGGGACTGTGAAACCTGAGTTCCTGCTAAGAAGAGGCTGCTTGCAGATGTACACGGGCAGATTGAGTGTGAGAGGAACCCCACTGAGGCAATGAAGCTTAACAGCATTGCTTTTGCCCGAAAGAAAACGATACACACTCTAGAGACTGAGACAGGAGGATTGCAGGTTCAAGGTCCCGTTGGGCTCCAGAGCCAGGACAAGATCAGGCTCTGTGACTTAGTGACACCCTGTCTCAAAACAAAAAGGAGAAAGAGAACCTAGGCTGTAACTCAGTGGAGGAATAACTGCCAAGCATACTCCAGGCCCTGGGCTCAATCCCCAGCACTGGGGGGTGCAGGGTGGGAGAGGGGGAGAAAAGTAGGAGGGGGTGGGGGGGAGGGCAGGAGAAGATGGTGGTGAGGTCATAAAGAACAGATTCAAATGCCTAGAATAGGCTAGAATAGGAGAAGTATCAGTTGAGCACAACCCAGATGGTTTCCACTCACGTCTGCTAACACCTCATAGATTAGAGACATCCTAAATAGAGATATGGCTACATCACCTAGCTGGCCAAATCTTGCTGATGGTATCTTTTTGGAGGCATGGAGGAGGCATCAGAAAGGACACCATTGCGACACTCAGAGGATGCACATCTGAACTGGGATCATACCACAGTGCTGTGCCAGTGGCCCATGTGTGCGTCCCGAATTCTTTAACGTGGGTACAACAGGAGCGCTTCTCAGGCGACCTAGGTAGAGAGCTCCTGTAATCCTGCCACTTGAGAGGCTAAAGCAGGAGGACTGCGGTTGAGTTCAAGGCTGTACTGAGTGCCAGGCAAGCTTGTCTTAAAATAAACCAAAAACAAACAAACAAACAAACACCACGCCCTGTTCCTGGGAGACAGGCTGTAGTATTCGTGAGCATTAAAGTAGTATTGAAGGCCAATTAAGGGAGAGCTGTTTCCTCTTGGTAAAGAGAGTAGAATCTTCCCTCTGGCGAATAGAAACCTGTCTAAGCTACCCAAAACATGAGTTAATCCATTTGGGCCAGTAGGTCAGCTGTCTAAGGGACTCCCTTTTCCATCCCTGGATGCAGATTCACCTAACACTAGGCTGGAAAGAATGGAGGAATACTTATTCTTTTAATGAGATACTATATTTTCCTTCCCAGAATCCTTGGTTTTTGCGCTCTTGCTAGGGAGCCATCATGAGGTTCTGTGGGACCCGGTGGCTTCTTTTTCCTCTTTCTGTCTCAGACAGGGTGTGAGTGTATTTTCTCTGACATTTTGAGCTGTTTTGTTCTTTCGCTGAAGCCACTCCCCTTTTGCCATGTAGCTGCTTGCAACACCTCTGGGCCTAACTCACAAGGACTTTTCTCTTCATCTCCCTCCTCCAGGCAGCCACTGAGATGTACATCTTGCCTGCTCTGAGGTTTTCTCCTCAGGATTCCTTTTGAATACTCTTAAATTCTTTTGATGAGCTTAAGGACCCTCAGAGAAGATCCCAATTTCCCCCAATAACTTGTGGCACCTAACATGGGGCTCCCCAAAATTACCAGTCCTAAGAGAGGAATCGCCACATTCGTCTCAATGCAGAGAGGCACTGCGCTCCCAGCTCTGTCCCCATATCTCCATCTAGGAAGCTTTGAGGGTAGAAAAGGCAGGAGACACTATGGTAGGGTCTGTGAACAGAGAGGCGGATGTCTGAGGGAAGCCAGCAGGGGGAAGGACTCTGAAGAGAGTGATCCTGATGGGTCCAGCTGACCAGGCAGTCTTGCCCATGTGGGGAGAGCTGGGAATGATGGGAAGGATGGAGATCTCTGTATGAAAGGGAGACAGATGTGAACATACAATAATGTCCCTAACCCATTAAGCTGGCCTCAGACAGGGAGGAGGAGGAAGAGACCATGACCTTGGCAGCAGACAGACCTCTTCATCCTGCCCTTCAGTTCCTGGACCCTCTCCCCTAATTGCTGCACCCGACTCTTGAGAAGCATGGTTTCCCAAAAGCACTCTGCCTAAGACCTAAGACCCTGTGGTACAAGAGTCTGGAAAGCCATGACTGGGGTTGAGGCAGTTCCCTGATGCTCTTGGCCCAGATCCCCTACGTGTATATTAGGGAGCTGAGTCACCGACAACATCCCTGGGGTGCCATGTGTCAATAGCCATAATCCACGCATCCATGGAGGAAATCCTGGGTGGCCCATTGCTGCTCCAGGACACATTGGGAAAGATGGGTAAGGAAATTATACTCAAGGCAAGAAAGCAAAACACCTGTACACACAATACTCCCTCTACGGACACCGGAGACCTCTGTAGTATAGACATCATCCCAGGACCTCGAGGCTCCTCCTGACATGTCCAGGGTCCAGCACAGACCCTAGTACACAGTAGATGACTGAGAAGGACCTGAGTCCAAGAAGGTAAGTAGTTAGCTATAAGGTCACTAAGGAAAACTGCAGTCTATCTTGGTGGCTGTCTCCTGGTGACCAAGATGTTCCTTTGTGGTTGAACATGCTTAAAGTCGCAGCTAGGCTGTTTGTACTGTATCAGAAACTGAGGCATTTGGGTGGGACGGTGGAGAGATGGCTCAAGGGTCAAGATGGCTGTTCTAGCAGAGGACCTGGGTGTGGATCCCAGCAGCCACTTGGTGGATCATGTCCCAGTTCCAGGGGATCTGGCGCCCTCTTCTGGCCTCCAGGAGTACTTACTAGGTCTGTACATGTTGCACAGACATACATGCAGAAAAGACATCGAAGCATGTAAAATAATTAAAAGAAAAAGAAACTGAGGCACAAGGCAATTCTCCCACCTGCCCAAAAGTGAAGGAAACCTGACTTTGTTTATAAAACATCTGCATGTGGTTGTGAACTCTTCATAGGATTTTTTATGAAGGGCCGTGGGAATAAAGACTCTAAAAAGAGATTAAGTCCACCATGATGTTAAAGGAGGGAAAAATGATCACCTTACCCGAT